GTGTGCAGACCAGTCTCTATATGGGATCTGAACCCTCGGCGAGAGCGCCGCCACACTCCCAAGTGCCGCACTCTACCGAGTGCACCACTGGGCCGGCCCAAAAGTTTTATATTTTGATGAAGTCTAATTTACCTATTTTCGTTGTTGCTTGACTTTTTGGTGTTACAGCTAAGAATCCATTGCCAAACCCAAGGTCATACAGATTTATGTTTTCTTCTGAGAGTTTTATAGTTTCAGCTTTTACATAAAACAAGTAATATTTTAATGCGATGTTTTTGAAAATCAAAATTGCCGGTTCGCTCACTGGCCGAGCGTGGTGCTGACAACACCAAGTCGAGGGTTAAGATCCCCTTACCCGGTCATCTTTAAAAAAAAAAAAAAAGAAAAGAAAAAAATAAAAGAATGCGTGAGTCTCGCTCTCTCTCTCCTGTCTTTTGCAATGGGACACTCTGCATCGCAGAAGTGACCACCAAAGAAGGCCCTCCCCAGGTGTGTTCCCTGGACTTTGGACTTCCCAACCTCCAAAACTATAAGCAGTAAATATTGTTTCTTTACAAGTTACCCAGTTTCAGGTATTTCTAACAGAGGGAGAATGCCACGTGGTACATGTCACCTCCAATGGTCTCCAGACACTCTCCCTGCTTGCCTCTTCAACCTGCACCCTGCAGCATCCTGGTGAAGGTGCCTGTGAGGGTAACTCGGCCTCTCTCGGGGCACTGTGTGCTTCCCTGCCACGCATGATTTTGTCCTTGGCCTTTTGGGTCTTCCTGGTTGTGCAGGAGTGGAACGTCTGATGCATGGGGTCTGGGTATCTTCATTTTCACCAGCCTGATGCTACAAGATTCTTCTCCAAAGTGGTGGCCCAGGTTCACACTGGGCTGGGGGGTAGGTAGGGGTGGTGGAGCAGGGAGGCACTCACCTCAGGTGCAAAATTTAAGGGTGGTGGGAGTGCCAAAAACTTACTAAGGAAGACAGATAAACTTTTTTTATTGAGGTAAAGTTCACATAAAATTAACCATTTAAAACCATACAATTCAGTGGTGTTAAGTATATTCACAGTGTTTTGCAACCATCACCTCTATCTAGTTCCAAAACATCTTCATCACCCTGAAGGGAAAACCCCATACCCATTAGTAGACACTCTCCATCCCTGTGTCCCCTCGAGTCCCTGGCCACCACCAATCTACTTTCTGTCTCTATGGATTTGCCTATTCTGGATATTTCATGTGAATTTAATCATACAGTACATGATCGTTTGTGTCTGGTTTCTTTCACTTAGCCACCCTATGAATGAACCTTCAAAACATTGTGCTAAATATATATCTCCTTTGGAGAAATGTCATTTCAAATCCTTTGGCTGTTTTTAAATTGGGCTGTCATTTTGCTGTTGAGTTGTAAGAATTCTTTACATATTCTGGATACTAGACCCTTACCCATTACAGGCAATGTTTTGGTCAATGCGGGCCGAATATATGACAGTATATAATAATCTGTCATAATCTCACAAGATTATAATGGCTATACTATGTGGTTTAGGTGTGTAGTGGGCTATACCTTCCAGGTTTGTGCAAGTGCACTCTGTGATGTTCACATTAACAACGATTCACCTAATGATGCATTTCTCAGAACATTATCCCCATTGTTAAGTGACGTGACTGTATACAGTTTACAAACATATTTTCCCATTCTGTAGTTTGCATTTTCACTTTCCTGATGGTGTGCTTTCAGGCTAAAAGTTTTATATATATATATATATTTTTTTTTTTTTCCTTTTTGTCTTTTTTCATGACCGGTAACGGATCGCAACCCTTGGTGTCGCGCCCGTACCGCAACCGGCAACGGGATTGCAACCCTCGGTGTCGCGTCCGTACCGCAACCGGCAACGGGATTGCAACCCTCGGTGTCATGCCCGCACCGCGCTCAACCAGTGTGCAGACCAGTCTCTATATGGGATCTGAACCCTCGGCGAGAGCGCCGCCACACTCCCACGTGCCGCACTCTACCGAGTGCACCACTGGGCCGGCCCAAAAGTTTTATATTTTGATGAAGTCTAATTTACCTATTTTTGTTGTTGCTTGACTTTTTGGTGTTACAGCTAAGAATCCATTGCCAAACCCAAGGTCATACAGATTTATGTTTTCTTCTAAGAGTTTTATAGTTTCAGCTTTTACATAAAACAAGTAATATTTTAATGCGATGTTTTTGAAAATCAAAATTAATGCAAAAAAATCCACGATGAACAAAATATTAACATTTCACATATAGACTGGATTTGACCCTGAAGTTGCACTATTCACACGCACCCTGAGGGAGAGTGGGGAGGGGTTACGTTAACTTAGGAGATAACCAACTGCAGCAGGTTTGTGGCCAGTGGCAGAGCTCAGTCAGGTTTGGTCCAGAAGCTGGTACTGCTGGAGAGGGAGCACTGTTCCCACTGCAAGACCTTGAGGAGGCCAAGAGGAAAAGAGGCCAGAGGGGAGAACTGAAGAGAGATGGGAGTGACTCCATGCTGGAACTGTAAGTGACTTGCTCCTCAGGGCCTACGAAACTGACCTTTCACTTGAATTTTTTGAGGTCAGGAAACCCACTGTTTAGACAAAAATAGGAATCATCATTTGACTTGGTATGGTGAACACAATTAACCTTGTTCTATAGATCAAAATTGTCCTGGAGACTCCATATAATCATTTACCTATTATGTTGCAAAACAGTATTTGGAATCTTGTTTACTGCTTAATCTGCCCTGTACTTTTACTATGAAAACCTCTTGCTTTTTTCCTCGAGTGGGCAGACCCTCCCCTCATCCTGAGAGATAGTCTTCCCCGCTTTGCAAACCTACTCAACGTGCCTTACACGCTGCAGTGTTTTGCTTCGACAAAGGGAGGGAGAGGGGACCCAGGGCAGGGGTGAGACCACACAGTAAAGGTCCGTGAGATGTGGGCCCCGAATGACCGCGGGAATGTGTGCTGGGCCCGCGCGGGTGGCTTTCGAGGGTGACTACGTGGACTTGAAAGTGACCGCTGTCCCAGGGCTCCCTGCCTCCCAGGGGACTCTGACTGCAGCCGCCTCCCCAAGAGGGTCCCCAGCAGGGAGGAGGCCCCTGGCGAGGGGAGGAGGTTGGGAGGCAAGAGCTGGCCGGACCTGGGAGCGCGCATCCCCAGGCCCGCCCTCCGTACCTCCGCCCCAGGCTCCCAGTCCGATGGCGGAGGCAGGCGCGTGCACGGAGGCCCCGGCACAAGCGTGTCCCCCTCGATCCCGTCCGCATTCCGGCAGGGGTTCGGCCCTGGGCGCACGCACGGGCGCATCCGCGGCCGCGCGTGGAAGGGACCAGAGGACCCTCTTGTGCGGCCCCGTCCGAGAGAAACAAGCTGCGTCCACCGGGGTCTAGAGGAGACCCCAGGACCTCCTAAAAAGCTTAGCTCCTTGGGCACAGCGTGGTACGGCAGGGACGCCGGGCGATCATGTGAGTCTCCTTCCAACCTGCCCACGGCAGGGAACCTGAGCCCATTTCTCAGATGAGGAAGGTGGAGATCAGACGGGTCAGGCGACTTGCTCACAGCCACCCGATGCCCAACCTGAGGGGCGGCCCTCTTTGCTGGAGAGGAGTAAAGGGCATTTCCTCTGCCCAGGGGAGTCACCGGACTGTGCGCCGGTGGCAGGACACCAAGGGCAGCCATTACAGTGACCACATCTGACAGTCTCAGGATGTTTCCACCGAGGGACTTGGAGGTCTGAATGTCCGATGAAATGGAGAGATGGAGGAAATGTTTTGGGGGTTGGCAGGCCGTGTGCAGCTTGCCAGCCAGAGGGAAAGTCCACCGTGCTCCCTCCTGCACTCAGCGCTAGACTCCTCTGCCCCACCAGACCTCCCGTCGTCGTGATCAGTGACTCCTGTTTACCGAATGTCCCCCTTTACTGAATGACCCTTCACAGTACCCCATTTGGTCCTCCTCAGGCCATTTTTAAGAGCGGACAGTCATAGGGTCTGAGAGGGAGGATCTTGTCTGAGGGCACACAGCTATTTAGAGGCCGCTGGGATTTGGATCAGGATCTTTCCCATCCCGGGCTGAGCTCTCTCTGCTCTGCACTGTCTACGAATTGTGGGACTCCATGCATGCCTCACAGGACCACATCTTACAGAAGCCCACACCTGCCCCACGGCTGGGCATGTGGAGATCTGCGGTGGTGTTGGGTGTTGGGGTTCGTGTGTGTTAAGTCTGAAGGGCTCCGTGGAATAAGGCCCTGGTGTTCCTTTCTTGCTGTGTAGGCATGGAAGGATGCGGGGCTCCCACTGTCCACCCCAAGCAATGAGGCCTGCAAGCTGTTTGATGCCACCCTGACCCAGGTATGTCTGCCCAGAGAAACAGTAGGCCCTTCTCTGGATGTCCATGGGGAAAGTGTTTAAATTGGTAAACACTTTAAATTGCACCATGACTTTAGCAATAGATGGCAATAAAATCTATGCACTCTGTCCTGGAGGACGTGGGAGCGTGTGGCAGAGGGGGCCTTTGCGTTCACTCTCCTTCCCTTTGTGAGGCCCCTGAATGGTGTGTGCGGCAGCGGGGTCGCATGGGGGATGGTCCTGCCAGTGTGCTGAGCCTCCCCAGCCATCCTGCTCTAGCCTGCTGAGGATTTAATGTGGGGCTCTACCACTTGGGGCCTGGGGTCCTGTCCTGGGGCTAAGCTAAGAACACACTGCTCTGGCTGTGCCAAGACCTTCCAGCACATGATCAGTCACTTTTACTCCAGTGAAGTATCCTCTCGTTTCACAGCTAGAAGGGGTCTCAGAAATAAGGTCCAACTAGTTTGATAGGTAGGGAAGCTGAGGCCCAGAAAGTTGAACTGACTTGAGTTTAAGGTGAGTTAGAGGCAGAACCAGGGTGCACCTGGGTGTGAATACCAGTGAAAAACTAAAGCTGGCCTTTTTCATGAGCGGTGAGACCTCTACGTGTTGACTTCATCCACACAACACAAGGAACAAGGACACTGTGTGCATTTGAGTACTTGTCTGTTTTGTGTCAGCCCACTGCCTTCCACGCCTTGTTGGTCTGTGCACATACTTGATCGGTTACACGCCACGGTCCTCCATTCAGGGGCAGTTCATCCTCCCCGCTGTGCATAGTCCGTTCCGTGCATTGGGGTCTCTGTGTCGTCGTGCATTGGGGTCTCTGTGTCGTCCTGCATCAGAGCAAGAGGTCTTTGAATCTCCCTGCCAGCTCCCCTGTGTATTTGAGTACTTGTCTGTTTTGTGTCAGCCCACTGCCTTCCACGCCTTGTTGGTCTGTGCACATACTCGATCGGTTACACGCCACGGTCCTCCATTCAGGGGCAGTTCATTCTCCCCGCTGTGCATAGTCCGTTCCGTGCATTGGGGTCCCTGTGTCGTCGTGCATTGGGATCTCTGTGTCGTCCTGCATCAGAGCAAGAGGTCTTTGAATCTCCCTGCCAGCTCCCCTGTGTCTTGCTGAAGTTCTTGCACATGTGCCAATTCTGTGTAGCTACGGGTTAGACAACTGAAAGGGTACGTTGTAAAATCCAATGCATTATTATGGTTTTAGGATTTTAAAAAAACAGACATTTTTTAAAGAAGGACTAGAAATAAACTCATCAAATTGTCAAAATGGTGATAAGATGAGATTAGGGTGAGTTTTTTCTTTCAGCTTTTGTGTCTCTCTCTGACTCTCCATAATGAAAGTTCACTGTGGTGAATGAATAAGAGGCAGGAATGTTCCTAATGTGGTGACCAGCTTCAAGGCCCCTCTTAGGGGGAAGAAGCTGATGTTGAGTGGCAGGTCACTGGTCAGGAAGAACCTTCCTTTTGATGTTTCTTTTTGTGGAGATGGTGGCATCGCTGACTCTAGAAAGTGTGCCTCAAGTTACATGTATTTCATCTCTTCCTATGAGATCAACCGAGTTATGCTTTCTTTTAGATTAGAGTTCAGAAAACACTTCGTGTTTTAGAAAGTAAAAAAAAAATTCTGGATTTAGATACATGATCTAAGGACTCCATGAGGACAACTTTGTTTTACTGTTTTTATTTCAGTATGTGAAATGGACCAATGACAAAAGTCTCGGTGGCATTGAGGGCTGCCTGTCAAAGCTCAAAGCAGCAGATCCGACCTTTGGTGAGTATCTCTTTCCCTGGTTAAGGAGCCCAGCTTCACGGATCCAGCCCCTCTCTTGTTCCCTGACCACAGGGACTCAGTTGGGTTGGGGAGGGCAGGTGGCATGTCAGTGACTCGGCTGGCATTTGCACAGCAGGAGGAAAGATGACAGCTGCCATTGTGTTTGGAATAACAGCTGCTCCCATAAAGATGCCAGGTTCAATGAAGGGCATTTTTCAATATTTTTTTCTCTAATTGCCATCAATTCTGCAGGAAAACTCTGATCCCATTTCTTAGACGAGGAAACTAAAAGAGTGAGCTGCATACCCAAAGCCACGCAGCTGATTGTGGGGGTTGGGATCAGACAAGACTGTCTGAATCCAAAGTGCAGACTCCTGGAACACAGAGATAGCTACTGCAGCTGTTGTCAGGGGACTAGTGAGGCCCCACCCAGAGTGGCTGGGGTGGGGGGGACCTGTGGCATCTGGGCAAGCCATGTGTGCAGCAGGCACGGGGAGGTCAGCACAGTGCATTCCAGAACCCTAGGTGGGTGGCCCCAATGCGGGGTAAGGTTCTGGGCCTGGGAGAAGGGCTGAGGAAGGAGGACAGGACAACAGGGACCCCCTTCCCACTCTGCTGGGCAAGGGCTCGTACAACCCTGGCAGGGACAGGAGGGAGAAAGAACTGGGAAGAACAGAAAAAGCCGAACCCAGCCTGTGGGGAGAGCTAGTAGCTGGGGTGGGCTTGGGCTCTTGGAGCAGACCTCGAGCCCCTGGTCAGAAGCAGGGGCCACATGGGTGGTCCTAGCACTATGGCTAGGTCCTAGGCCTGTGCCAGTGACTGACTTCCAAATGCCAGTGGACACCCTGCCTCTCTCAAGATGGGGGCTGGGAAGCCCAAGTAGGGCCTGGGGGCCTGCACGCCTGCCAGCAATGCTGCTGCAAAGGCCACAGGCACACCCTCAGCCCCGCTCTCCGCATATGAGAGCAGCGGAAATAGGATCATGGCTTCTGTGCTCCTCCTTGGACCTGCCCCCTGAGAGGCGATGTGCTGGTTGTAGTGACAATATCAGCTCATGAGCCTGCAGGCAGCCCCTAACCGTTTCATCCAGCGAAGGGGAAAGGTGTTGTAGACATTGGCACTCACCAGAAAGCCCTCATTAGAAAAGTGTTTTTGGCAGCTTTTGGCGTTGCCACTCCCTGCCCTGCATGGTGAGGGCCAAGGCTGAGCTCTGGACTGTTGGTGGGGACACAGTGCCCAGCCTACCTGCTGCCTGCCTGCACCTCCCAGGGTGCTGGGTGTGTGTTTCACACGCAGGGCTGGCTGGAGCAGGGCTGGACCCTCTGAATCACCAGCTGTTTTCCAACCTTCTGCCAGTGATGGGCCACGCCATCTCTAATGGCCTTGTGCTGATTGGCACCGGAAGCTCCGTGCGGCTGGACAAAGAGCTGGACCTGGCTGTGAAGACGATGGTGGAGATTTCTAAAACCCAGCCACTGACACAGCGGGAGCGGCTGCACGTGTCTGCGGTAGAGACGTTTGCAAAGGGGTGAGGGGCCTCCCTGGGCTGGGGCTGGCACTCTTAGGCTGTGCCGGGTGGTGCCACCAGCTGTCGCAGTGCCCTTGGGAAAGGGCCACCTTGGAGTGATTGTCTCGCTAGCTCAGAAGATCGTCTGATTGAAATCGCATCCTGTCTGCTACTCTGTCCTCAGCTGAGTGCCAGATGAGGAAGTGGTTGACTAGGGTTCCCAATTTAGCATTCAAAGTAACTTATTTTGTTTCATTAAATAGATCGCTTATTATTTTCCTTACAAAAATCATAGAACCACATCACAGAAGTTTCTGGAAGAGAGAAAAAAAACATCTGCCCATAAGCTTCTGGCCCTAACACACCACTGTGAGCATCTGCTCACTGCCTTCCAGATCATCCCCTGCCTCTGTTTCCACGGTTGTCCTCTTGTTGTCTGAGACAGCCCCTGTGTCTGCTCAGGCAGGCGAGATGCCCTGCAGAGCCCGGTGACCTGAGCTGGTTGTGCAGGGTTTCAGGGGTTCTGAACCCTGAGGATGACAAAGTCCTGCCTGGCTCTTCATGGTGAATGAACACAGAGGTGGAATTCCACCTTGCTCATGGTCTCTAGTGAACTTGTTTTGGCAATTTGTTAAACTTTTTTTTTTCCTATTTGAAGCAGAGAGTAAAATTTCCCACTGTTTTTTCAATTTTCTGAGCTACAGCCTAACATAGAAACTGATTCTTTTTTAGCCAATTCAGTGCAGACCATGACACTGGCGAGAAATGGTGTCTTTTACATTCCCTGTGTGTGGGCTACGTGTTCAGTGTTGCTGAGAAATCTCTCCTGGCTTCTAGGAACTTTCCGAAAGCCTGTGAACTATGGGAACAGATTCTCTGGGACCACCCGACAGACATGTTGGCCCTGAAATTTTCCCATGATGCCTATTTTTACCTGGGCTACCAGGAACAGATGCGAGATTCTGTTGCTCGAATTTACCCCTTCTGGACACCTGACATCCCCCTGAGCAGGTATGTGCTAGTTGGAAATCACATCATTTCTATTTCTTAATCTCTGTCTTCTGCGCTAAAAATAATGAGATGACTGTTGCTATTCTCTTAGTTCTTTAAAGTTCTTTAAACCCTTCGTTTTTTCTCTTGGATCTTCATCACATCCTGTGAATGAGGTCATAGTATTATGTATCAGTCAGGACGAGATCGCTTTTGCTGCAGGAACAAACATCCCTGAGATCCTATTCTCCGAAGCTCATTACAGCAAAGATTTCTTTCTCACTCCTACTGCATGTCCATCTTAGGAGGGCTGAGGGTGCCATGACTATATCCTTGTCTCCCTCTAGGGCCCCAGCTGATGAAGCAACTGCCCTCTGGACACACCAGTTGCTAAGAGGGAAAAGAGAGCTCTCCTGAGGGGCTCATACTGGCAATTAAGTGCTCAGGATGAAAGGGATAGCCTGCCACTCCCAAGTCATTGGCCAGAACCAATCACATGACCTGAGCCGCCCACAGGAGACCAGGAAATACAGTTCTGCAATGTGCTTGGGCAGAGAGGGAGGCCTGGGATGTTTGTGAACAGCCCCAGTGACCACTTCACGTGATCAGCACCATTGCGTCTTAATTGCAAGATAGTTAGGAGAGTCAAACAGGTTGATAGATTGAAGAGCTGTGTTAGGGCTTTCCGGAAACACAGAACCAGTAAAATGCTGATCCCATTTGTCAGATAAGACCCACGCAGCTACCCTAGAGAGATGGAGAGATTTATTTGGGGAATTGGCTCACTTGATTGTGGGGGCTGGCTAGTTGAAAGTCTGTAGGGCAGGGCAGCAGGCTGGAAAGTCCTGCAGGAGTTGACCTTACGGTCTTGCATCTGGAGGCAGAATTCCTTCTTCTGGGAACCTCAGTCTTTTAAGGCCTTCTACTGAGTGGATGAGGCCCACGCACATTGTGGAGGGCCATCTGCTTTACTCAAAGTTTAAACGTTAATCACATCTAAAAAAAAAATACCTTCATAGCAACACGTAGACTGGTGTTTGACCAAACAACTGGGTACCATGGCCCAGCCAATTTGACGCATAAAACTAATCATCACAAGAGCCTTACTAGTATCTGACACACAGTAAATACTCAATAAATTTTTTTTTTTTTGTCCTTTTTGTGACCGGCCGCACCATGCTCAGCCAGTGAGCTCATCGCACCGGCCATCCCTATATAGGATCTGAACCCGCGGCGCGCTCCCAGCACCGCACTCTCCCAAGTGCGCCACGGGCTCAGCCCTCAATAAATGTTTTGTCCTTTTTGTGACCGGCCGCACCATGCTCAGCCAGTGAGCTCATCGCACCGGCCATCCCTATATAGGATCCGAACCCACGGCGCGCTCCCAGCACCGCACTCTCCCAAGTGCGCCACGGGCTCAGCCCTCAATAAATGTTTAGATGTTGAGGGATAAATGACCCCAGTAAGCACTAAATAAATATTTTTTCAATAAAACCACAAAAACAATGAGCCTGGAAGCCAGTGCTCTGGAAATTGCTTTGATGAATAACAAAAGCTAGAATCTGTCTCTGTGGGGCCTGCCCGTGGCTCACTCGGTAGAGTGCGGTGCTGATAACACCAAGGCCACGGGTTCGAATCCCATATAGGGATGGCCGGTTCGCTCACTGGCTGAGCGTGGTGCTGACAACACCAAGTCTAGGGTTAAGATCCCCTTACCGGTCATCTTTTTTAAAAAAAAAAGAATCTGTCTCTGCATAGTAGTAAAGATAACATCTGAGCATCGAATGGGAACTCCGTTGTTCTAAGTTGTTCTCACTTGACCCTGAAAAACCACAGGAAAGAGTGCCTCTTCCACGCGTGACTTGTGAACTCAGTGTGCGTTCATTCAGCAAAGTGTTGCAAGCCCATGCTGGGCCGGGACTAGTCTGAGAGTGAGCTGGACAGAGGGGGTCCTGGCCTCCAGGAGCTCTGGGCCAGGGGGAGCCTGACCGACCAGTACATGTGTCTCAGTCTCAGGGCTGCTGTGTCAAAGAACCACACATTGGGGATTGAAAGCAAGAGATGTGTTCACTTGCAGTTCTGGAGACCAGAGGTCTACATCAAGGTGTCATCAGGGCCAGCTCCCTGCAAGGGCTCTCGGAATCCTTCCTGCCTCTTCCAGCTTCTGGTGGTGGCTGGCAGTCCTTGGTATTCTTTGGCTTGTGGCTGCATCACTCCAGTCTCTGCCTCCATCTTTGCATGCCATCTTCCCTCTGTGTCTGTGTCTTAGTGTCTCCACTTGGCCTTCTTATAAGGACCCTGTTCAGTGGATTAGCACCTCATCTTAACTTGTTTACATCTGCAAAGACCCTGTTTCCAAACAAGGTCACATTCACAGGTACAGGGAGTGCTGGGACATCAGCATATCGCTATGGGAACACAGTTCAACCCACTACCAGTCCATGTTTTGTACTTTGAGTTATTTTTTCTCTGTTTTTAGCTATGTGAAAGGCATATATTCTTTTGGATTGATGGAAACCAACTTTTATGATCAGGCAGAAAAGCTTGCCAAAGAGGTAAGTAGGCCCTTCCCGCGGTGCCCAACCCTTCAGGGGTTGTCAGTGGCTGTCAGGTGGGGCAGAGCACATGAGGACCACTACTCATGTGTGACCCTGGTGAGTCCCCCTCTAACCCGGGCCTCTTTTCCTCAGAGATATTGGAAAAGGCTTATATTACAGCGAGCTTCTGCTGCCTGCCCAGGGCTTACTGTGTGCCTGTCATTCACCTATGCCTCCTGAGGTCCTTGGCACACGACGTTTCCACGTCTGCAGATGAGAACGATGAGGCTTAGGGCAGCTGGTTCACCTTGCTGCTCGGCACGGATGGGGGTCCCGCCAGCTCTCTGGCTACAGTGCCCACTCTGCATTGCTGGGACAGTAACTTTGTGGCGGGGAAACATACACAAACCTTGCATCTTCCTTTGAACTTCACATTTGCAAGCATCACAAGCAGCACCCGCAGTCCAGGTTGCTGAGTGACAGTGCAAAGACTGCTTGCGGCCGGGCCCTGGCTGGGCCTGCCCTTCCTCCCCAAGTGGTCGGGGTCGCCCTGCCAGCCAGCCCTTCCCCCATCAGTTAGAGTGCATAGCAGCGGCACAGGGGGCAGGGCAGGTGTGGAGTTTGCCCATCACCCCCCGCTGGCCCTAGCCCCTCACTCGGCGCTCCGCCTGTGGTGTGCTGGCTGTATGTGCGGGTGGATGCGTTGCGTGCCTGGGCTGGGCTGGGTGGTAGGCTGCACTGTCAGGCCTGGGGTGCAAGACCTCTCAGGTTCCTAAAGTCCTTCTCTTCCACTCATCTCCTGACAGTGATGGAAACTGAGGCACAGGGAGAGGCCATTGTTGTTGTAGGTAAACATCCACAGGGTCCTTGCCTATTGCGAATGCCGAAAGAGCCACAACAACAGGGTGTTCGAGCGTGCAGCAGAAAGGCACTTTAGTCAGGTGGTGGTCTCGTGGCCTGTGCCAAGCTCCTGGGGCAGGTGGCAGTGACAATCTTTAAGGGTCTAGCTACGGGAACTCAAATATATGCAATGAGGGCTGGGTTGTTTCTGTATGTATTCAACTGGGGAAGAGCACGCATGTGCAGTGCAGCATCATGTATGTTACGTGCAACCCATGTTCTCTTGGGGGTGGAGATTTAAGTATTATAATGAAGGGAGTTGGCCTTGTGTCCTCACAGGTGAAATTAGGCACAGAGTTGAGACTTGTGCACAGACTCCCTGATCTGGCCCAAAATGGTTAGGACGAGTTGGTGGTTATCACAGTAAGTGGCCTCACTCAGCCAGAGTTGTTGAATGAAAGGGAGGCAAGAGGAAGGAATAAAGGGTAGTTCTCAATAAGGAGTAGGAGTTGGCAGGTCTCACCATCATATGCAAGGGGACGATGGCCACTCCTGTGCCAGGCACTTTATGCGCGTCTGCTCACGTCCATCCTCTCTGCCCACATGACATTACACTCCTCCTTGCCTGGATAAGGGAGCCAAGGCTCAGATAGAGGCCAAGGTCAGAGCCTGCCCATGGCCACACAGAGATGGGGGAGCTGGATGGCTGTCTTTTTTTTTTTTCTGGCCAATGCAGTTTATTTTTTTAATTTTTTAAATTTTTTATTTATTTTTTAAACTTTATTAATTGTTGATTATTGTGGCCCATTACCGAATGGATGGCTGTCCTTTAAGCTGCCTGGACTAGACCCCAGCTTCCCAGCATCCCAGCAGGGGCTCCTCCCCCCAGATGTTGCCCTAGTTGGCCCCCAGCACCCCCTCCCCAGGAGACAACACCTCAGCAGCCTGTGGGATCTCTGAAGACTGCTGTGATTACAGAATCAGAGCCCAGACTCAAGGCTCAGGGTCACGGGCTCTTTGCTTTTGCTCCAAGTCAGGGCTGGGGAGAGCTGGGTGGCTTCCTGGTGGTGGTGGCTCCATGGCCTGGTGACCAGGCACCACCATCCAGAGGTCAGCCACAGGAAGGTCCCTCAGAGACCATCACAGCTGGGCACTCCACTGGGTGGTGTCCATCCAGGCACCTGAGGGCTGGCAGGACAGTTGGAAAAGCTCTGGACAAGGGTGGCTGTGGTCAGCCAGACGTGGCAGGTCCCCCAGAGGGCAGCCAAAGGTGCTGACGCAGGCCTGGCAGGGAGCAGGTAGTGGTGGAATAGTATCCCCCTCCCCCAGGCTCCCTTTGTGCCCCCTTCTCCTGCTGCACCCCCTCTGGACCCTAACACCGGCACCCCACAGACGATTACTGGTTAAGAAGACCAGGCTGTGACAGTGCCTGCCAGGCTTTTGGGAGAGTGAGGGTGGGCAGCTCCAGGCTCTGCTGGACTGGAGAGGACTCACGGGGCAGTGGCACGTGGGCCGTGTGTCTGCAAGCTGAGCAGGCCAGCCGCAGGCCGGCGAGCAGCAGGAAGGGCAAAGGGCGGCTGGCTGTGGAAGCTGCAGCAAAGGCACTGTCCCAGAGCTCGGGGACATGGAGCTCCATGTGGCAGCATGGGCTGAGGCTACAGGTATTGGTGGGCAGGCGAGGGCCCTCGGAGCCAAGGCTGGAGAGAGATGGCAGAGGCCGGGGCCTGCTGGGCCTTCGGAAATTTAGACTTTTCCCCAGGGAGGCTTGGGAGGTCCCTGAGCGAGGCAGAAAGCTGGCCAGCCCCTCGGAGATGGTGAGAGCTGGCGGGCAGTACTGTGGCTCTGAGCCGCAGCCCTGGTGTCTGCTGTGCGGGAAAGCAGCATGCTTAGTGGGATCCCTGCACGGGCCCAGCGCCCAGCCTGCTCAGACTGTGCCCTGCAGTCTCCCCGGGGGTCCTGGTGCTATGGGCCTTTACCCAGGGGTGCCCTGTATGTCCTCATGTGGAGAGGGCAGAGCATGAGAGCTGAGGGCGGGAGCAGGAGGCAGGGCCTGCTGGGACGACCTGTTGCAGAGACCCTGCAGCAGGTGCCCATACTCCTGGTCTCTGCTTCTGTGAAAGGTATGGGGAGACTGAGGCAGCAGGGCGAGGGGTAAACCCGTGATCTGCTGTGGAGGCCAGTTCATAGGACCCCCGTGAGACTACATTGACTACTCCATGCCTGACGCTTAGTAGGCATTCAGTAAACATGAGCTGAACACACGGGTGTAAGAACGATGCTGCTACAAGGTGACAATCATGCCACGTGTGTGTTGTCTGCCTCCCTGGTCACCGAAAAGCTCACGGTCATGTGAGTGGCTATTGCAGGTAACAGCGATTATGTCAGGACTGGCTGTTTCTGAGCCCAGAAACCACTTGTGTAGTCATTGTGTGGATGTTAGTGGAAGAGGCAGCCACAAGCCACAGGAGCTCCTGACACCACACAGTGGTCACAGGGACAATGTCTGCTTTGTCTCCACTGCAGCCCCAGAGGAAGGCAGCATCAGTGGCCCCTCCACCGGGGGGGAAACAGGCAGAGAGAGCCTGGTGGCATGTGACTCAGCTGTACACAGGAGGCTGTGGGGTCAGGGGATGAGCCCCGGTTTTGGAAAGACCCCGCTGCCACCCAGTTGTGTGATCCTTGAGCCTCAGTTTCCCGATCTGTGAAATGGGCAGTGATACCTTCTTTGGTGGCATCCCATGGTTGGTATCACAAGCTGGCGTGTCCTAGGCACTCAGGAAAAAGGGCTGGTCATTGGGATTGTAATGGTTTTGAGTTAGAGCCCAGTTCTAACGCTTGCTCCGCCCTGTTCAGCTCAGGCCCCTCTTACCCCCTGGAGACATGTTGTGTCCTGGTCCAGGCAGCCTGACTCATCCACATTATCTCGACTTCTCTTCCACCCCTACCCCCATGTAGGCTTTATCTATTAACCCAACAGACGCATGGTCAGTGCACACCATTGCCCACATCCATGAGATGAAAGCAGAGATCAAGGATGGGCTGGAGTTCATGCAGCACTCAGAAGCCCACTGGAAGGTACGATTCCTGTCGGTGCATCATATGCCCAGAAATTCAGCCTGTCACCTAAGAGTAAAGCCAAGGCTTTATGGACAGGAGTTAATAGGGTGTGGCTTAGTTCTTGGAGACTTGTGTTCAGCTTGTGGGCATTTCTGTCATACCATAGCATCTCCTGGGAGCTCCATGGCACCCCAACACCTGCCAACATTTTGCAGGTGATTCTGGAATTGGTCTTGGCATTTGGTTGTAAAAGAATGGATTAGAAAATTGCCAAGGAAACCAGAGCCTGGCCAGGATGAGTAGAGAGGGCCCTGAATTGCTTCCTTTGCCACTGGCCACCGTACTCAGTGTGGAAGCCAGGAGCGGTCTTGGGGAGCCCCCAGTTTAGCCGGCAGGGAGGTGTATGGGAGTGAAGGCACAGTGGTGGTCTGTAGGGCTGGCATGTGGGGTCTGGGCCTTGTGGGGGAGGTGTACTGGGGCCATCCAAGCTACTAGCACCCTGCCAGGCCCTTTCCCGTGGCCAGATCACACCATGGCCTCACTGTTCCCACTCCCATCACCCGACTTCACCCCCTGCCAGCTGGCTGCTGTCTTTGGGGCCGTCCCCTCCCTCCCACATACTGTGACGGTCCCCCTTCTCTGAGTGTGCCAGTGGTCCCCGGAGTTGCCTCTGGCACAGAGCCTGGCCACCTGTCCAGGTGTAGTTGCTGCCCTGCCCTTCTCTGCCATGGTGGCCTCCCCAGGGCACCGAGCGGCAGGTGCTGAATGAGGTAAGTGTATGAACCCAGGAGACACCAGGAGCCAGGCGGGGAGCGGAGGAGCCCATGTCCCCGGCAGCCTCCCAGCGGTGCCCTGGCCCAGGGCCTGCCCAGCGACATGTAATTTACAAGAAGGCAGATTACTGGCTTCTCTGGGAGTGGTCTCAGGGTCTCAGGTGGAGCAGGTGAGCAGTGTAAGAATGTTCGAGAACTATAATCCCATGAGGTTTGCATGCAGATCTTCCTCCGGGTCCCCAAACACTAGGGACTGGAAAGGCCCTGGGGGCATCAGGAACATAGAGCCCAGCCTGGCAGCCCTGCCCTCGGGCTCCCCTAGGCAGATACGGCAGTTCTCACAGCGGGGAGCACTGGGCCTGGGTTGGGGGCACCCGGTGTGTCTGTGTCCTCCCGGCAGAGGGGCTTGCTAGGCAGCATCCTGGTGGCAGGAGACCCATCCAGCACCCTTCCTCACATCCCATTCATGTCCCTCCCCCAGAGCTCTGATTTTGTGGGGCCTGAGACACCTGCGTTTGAGGTCGGGTAAGAACTTGATCCCTCTGAGATTTAGTTTCCTCATCTGAGACTCTGGCTGTTGTGACAACCGTGAGGCCCTTGGCCCCAAATGCGTTCCTATGGTTGTTGGTTTCGATGCATGTAAAATGGGGCTGTCTGAGGCTTGTAGGGTCACCTCAGAAACAGCCACCATCCTCTGATGTCTTCCTCTGTCCCCATCGTGGCTCTGGGCAGCCTCTGCCTGGCTGGACAGCCCTGGGCGTGGACGACACAGCCTGGGGCTCCCTTCCCTCCTCCTTCTATAGTTGCCTCAGGCCTTTGGCTGCTGAGCATGAAGCTCAGTCAAGACTCTACTCTCCATCCCAGGCCTGTGCCCTACCCTGGGGACCCCACAGAGGGTCCAGCTGGACCTCTGTGTCTTCGCAGGGCCTAGTCAAGATTAATGAGCAGCTCCTAGCACGTGCATGACAGGGGCACTCTCAGGGATGTGGAAACCTGAAAGAGGCATTGAACCCCATCGGGTTTGGGGAGAGCAGTGGTCAGGGAAGGCTTCCTGGAGGAGGCAACCTCTGAGCTGAGTATTGGAGGATGACTAGGTGTTTGCCAGAAGGAAGAGGGGGACATGGGGGGTGTCCCGGCCCAAGACCAGCTTGAGCAAAGACGCCAAGGCCTGTGTTGGCCCGTGAGGGAAAGGGGAGCCGAACAGTTTCTTGTCCTCGAGCACAGGTACAAAGTGGACGTGGGCCATGCAGGTGGCAGTGTCAGCTCCTCTTTCCAGGGGAGGCCAGGTTATGTCCAGGCAGAGGAGGAGCCGACTTCAGAGGCCTCAGAGAAGGAAGGGCTGGTGTCATGTTGGGGTGTGAGTGCTCTGGACACAAGGGAGAGGGGCCTCCTGTGGGACCGGGGCACAGACTGGGGACCTCAGGCCACTCGATCAACCTTTACTAAATACCTCTACATGCTCAGGGTCAGTGAGAAATCAGGCCTCGAGTCCCAGGGAGGATGTGTACTTGACCGTGAGCAGGAGCCATGCAGTCTGAGCAGCACTGGGGGAAGACCCTGAGGCCTCTGGACTCGCTCTGTCAGGTGGCAGCTGTCCGGCTCCCTCTTCTCGGCCAGCAAAGTCTGTTTTAGGTTTCCAGGTGCTGGGTGCTGCCACCTGTCAGAGGTCACAGGTCCAGTATCCCAAGCTTCCAATATCCTAGCAGAGCCCAGCTCCGAGTGGAGCAGAGGTCTTGAAAATTGCCCAAGGTTTTATCCAAGTGCCTTGTGCACAGGGAGCCTCACGGCTTTCTATGGAACGGCCCTGTTCTTTCTTTTCTCGAGTTGCTGCAGCAACTTCCACTGTGTGGTCCTGGTGCTGCCACTCCCTAGCTTGGGACCTCCTTGGCCTCAGTTTCCTCATTGGTAAATTCAGCCATGATAGCTGCTGCCCCTTGGAGTTGAAGGAGATGATGTGGTGTGGAATGCTCAGCACAGGTCGGAGCAGGTGCCCAGCCATTGGTGTTTTCCTGCACTCAGGGCTGAGAAATTCTACATTAGCACAAAACAGCGTTTGTTTTTTTCCACAGACTGTCGGACTCTCCTTTAATTCTCTTGTTCTTTCCCCAGGACTCTGACATGCTTGCTTGTCATAATTATTGGCACTGGGCTTTATATCTGATTGAAAAGGTGAGATGATCAAGACATCCAGAGCAAGAAATGTTTTTCTGGCTTATGCTATGTGTTTATATTCTGTGGAGTAACATTGTGTTTGTACATTTAAGCAGTGTCCTGACACACTAGAGCATTAATGTTTGCAGAGAGCTTCTCAGGCTTGAACTGCCTTAGGTATTTTTTTCACTGGCAGGCCTTGGAAATCATGTCTATTGGGTATGATCTGTGGAGACCATGCAGAGTCAGTGCCTCTCTGCTGCTGGAGGGAACAGCTGAGCCCCTACCCCACAGCTTGTACCTGAATGACCCATGAGACCTTCCAGTGGGAGCAAGCTTGTGGGGGCGGCTGCTTGCGAACGCCCTTGACCCCAGTGACTCTGCCAGAGGGTCCCATTTATAAGAGTGTTTTTTGCAGTGCTGATTATCAGAGAGGAACACCGGAAGCTCTTTTTGCAGTGCTGATTATCATAGAGGAACACCGGAAGCTCCTACGTGTGCTTGGAAGATGGGGATGCCGCCCTGACATAGGAACAGGATAGCACAGTGTCTAGAGAGAGCAGTCAGCCCGGCTGAACGTACAGTGGGGAAAACGCACACAGGAGAAAAGACTAGAAGGAAATTTTTTGCAGTGCTGATTATCAGAGAGGAACACCGGAAGCTCCTACATGTGCTTGGAAGATGGGGATGCCGCCCTGACATAGGAACAGGATAGCACAGTGTCTAGAGAGATCAGTCAGCCCGGCTGAACGTACAGTGGGGAAAACGCACACAGGAGAAAAGACTAGAAGGAAACATGGAAAAGCTCACAGCGGCTAATACTTACATTATCTTTTCTAATAGGAAAGAGAATGCGTTCACAGCAACTAAGGGTAGCAGCAGCGTAGGCCCCTGCCGTCTCCTCTGTCCCCTCTCCCGTCCTGGGCCCACTGCCCATCCCCGATGTGAGGAGGTGGAGGTTACATGCTGGGGGAGGACTGGCGCGGCCGCTTTCAGTTCACGTCTCAGTATTGCATTTCGCCTGCTGTAGATGTTGACCACAGAAACTTTATTTTTCCAGGGCGAGTACGAGGCTGCGCTGACCATTTACGATAAGCACGTAAGTCTGCACTTGCGCCTGCCCAGTTTATTGCAGCAGTTTGCCTTTTAGTCCCTAGCAGATCTTTGATCCCATCAGAATTGTCCCAGCCAGAAGAAACAGCTGGAGCAAGAACACCTTTCTTGTGTAAGACCTCATGGGATTGCTTGTGGCTCAAAGTGGTGTTGTCACCCGGAATGCGATGGAGATCTTTGGTTGACTTGTTTCACCCCATGGGTGACGATAGATTTACAAAGCTAAGGTGATCATCTCTGCAATCTCAGACTTTCCTCCAGTCCTTTTAGCTGGATTTTCTTTGGTAAGATCATTGATCTGCTCATAGGAACTTTTTTATTGTGGTTAAATGTGCATAAGGTAAAATTAAGTGCACAGCTCAGGGGCATTACGTCATTCACACTGCTGTGCAGCCATCACCACTGCCCGTCTCCAGACGTTTTCATCTTCCCAAACTGAAACTCTGTCCCCACTAAACACTAACTCTCCATTCTCCCTGTCCCCAGCCCCTAGGTATTCTTTTGGAAGGAAAAAAATCCTGACCCAGAGCTCTCGTGTACCCCAGTGAGGGATTAATAATAGAAGCCTGGGATCACAGAAATGCTTGTGATTTGGGGATCTAACTAAATACCAGAGGAAAGCACACAATTAGGTTTCCTAGAAGTGGTCCTTCAGGTGCTGTCAGGATTTCACAGTGAGAGATGAAGGGTGGCATGCACTGTGTGCTGCCAGGTATAGACCAGGTAACTGCTGTGCAGAGCTGAATCTGGAACATAAATGGGAGAGACGAGTCTCCTGCCAGCACAGTCTGAGGCTCAGGGTGGGCAGTGTCAGATGCCAGGGCCCAGCATGAACCACCGAGTATGTAGTGCAGTGGGCTGCCTGGTGCACCTGGTGTCCCCTCTGGTGCCTGGAGCCTCCTGAGCCCTGGGCAAAGGTGATAGTCTGAAAGGTGAAGTGCTGGAGACAATGGTGGCAGCTCTGGTGTGTGAGAGCTTGCTCTGTGCAAGCACCACCCACGGCCATCCCTACCTCCCCCTACTTGGTCCACCCACTGAGACCACCTCTGCGGAAGGTGATAGTCTGAAAGGTGAAGTGCTGGAGACAATGGTGGCAGCTCTGGTGTGTGAGAGCTTGCTCTGTGCAGGCACCACCCACGGCCATCCCTACCTCCCCCTACTTGGTCCACCCACTGAGACCACCTCTGCGGCCCTTGTCTTCCAGATCATCCCCAGCCTGCAGGCCAACGGTGCGATGCTGGATGTGGTGGACAGCTGCTCCATGCTCTACCGCCTCCACATGGAAGGTAGCCATGCCCCCTCACTCCCCTCACCTCCTGCCTCATCCCTCCCACACAACCAGGGGAAGGTAGCAAGGCGTCCTGCAAGCTTGGGGACAGGCACGCCTGGCCGCTGCTGCCCTTCCTTCTGGTCCCCACTGCTCCCCAGTGTGGAGTCTCTTGCTCTGCCCCTAGCACAGTACCTGCCATTCCCATGGCCTGCCCACCAGGCCTTCAGGGCACAGATGGCACCTGGCCACCTGTCTTGATTCTGCCTCCCTTCTTAGAACATGGGAGCTGAGAGTTTCTTAACTCCCTGAGATTTCAGAGAGAGGTTTCTCAACCTGCCATGCTCTGCGGGTAGCCTGGATAGGGCTGGCCACAGCTCTGTGGGCTCTGGAGGGCTCCCAACCAGCCACTGGGTACCAGAGGGCGCTCCCCTCGCCCCAGGCTCAGCAGAGCCAAACCTGTACGCAGGTGGGCCTGGGCAAGGCCCCAGATCAACAGGACAGTGGGGGGATGGAGGCCTGGGCAGGGCACTTTGGGGACCCAAGGAGGGCACAGCGAGCTGTTCCAGAAAGTTCTGGAAAGGCTTCCTAGTGGAGGTGAAATGTGAAATGTGGAAGGATGTGTAGGGTTTGCCAGGCAGAGATGAGGAAAGTGTTGTACACAGGGAGAGAGCAGCCTGTCCAAAGCCACCAGCAGTATAGGCAAGTGACTGGGGGACAGGTTCGATGTGGTCAGAGGGGCAGGAGGAGGCTGAGAGGCACGGCTGCCGGCTGCCGGGGAGCCCGAGTGTGGGGAGTGCACGTGAGAGTTCTGCTTCCGTCCGGGAGTGAGGGGAGCCAGCCGGAGCCGCCCTGGACAGGCGTGGATCTGCCTTTGAGAAGAGTTTGCTGAGTGGGCAGGGTCGGCCCTCAGCCAGCTGAGGCCTGATGCCCAGAGACCAGGGAGGCTGGGAGGTTGGCAGGGAGGTCGGGGAACATCGAGGATGCCAGGGCAAGGGCAGGGAGGCTGGGACAAGGGTAGGGAGGCCAGGGGAACAGCAGGGAGGAAGCTGCTGCTGCAGTTTCTAGGCCTGGAAATGAATCCCTGGGCCGATAGGAGGCCAAACATCATCTAGAACTGTGTGGAGGGGGAGGGCTGGAGGGAGGACTGAGTCCCATTAATGCCGAGACCCTGTTAACCCTTCACCTGCTGAGGCAGAGAGGTTGAAAACCACCTGGAACTGGAGCTTCGAGCCCAGGCTGCCCCAAGGCCAGTGCAGGGCGGGGCAGAGGAAGGGACACCCCACACTCGGGCAGAGGGGCGAGGCAGGGTGCCAAGGGGTGGAGGAGGACGAGAAAGGCCACTCACTTCCTCACCACACAGGATGGAGACTTGAGAACCGTTGTGCCATTTTACGGGATGAGAAACAGGGGGTAAGGGCAGCATTTATGGTTATGGGGTGCCCAGGAGAGGAAAAAGCATCCAATAATGGAGGAATCAGGAGGGGAGTTGGTGGGAAGAGGTGCTGGACAGTAGGGCAGAAGTAGGGACCGTCTGGAGTTGAGGAATCCAGACGTGAAAGCAGAAGGATTATTTATTCATTCAGCAGGTTTTTATAGAGTACCTATTATGTATCAGGTGCTGTGCTGGCAGTAACTACTGGAAGAATCTAAAACGTGTTTTTGTGGGGTGGCTGGTTAGCTCAGTTGGTTGTGGTGTGGTGCTGATAACCCCAAGGTCCAGAGTTTGATCTCTGTACCAGTTAGCTGCCAAAAATAATTAATAAAATAAAATAAAAAGTGCTTTTGGGGTTTGCCAAAGGGGCCAGAGACTTCATTTAATAACCTTCAGCAGTTTTTTAGATTTGCTTTCTGCCTTACGTATCTATTGCTTTCATAATTGCCCAAAGTTAACATGAACCGGGAGTCCGCAGGCCTTGCACGAGGCTGGATGCCATTTGCTGGCCCGGCTCAGCTGCTCCCTGGCCTCTCACCTGGAACAGGATCACAAGGCCTCTGAGGGATGTGCGGGTGAAGGGGGCCTGTGTGCAGGATGCACTCCAGAGCCTCATGCCAGGTCCTGGGTCTCCTCCCCCTGTCCCAGGGGTGTCCGTGGGCCCGCGGTGGCAGGACGTCCTGCGCGTGACCCAGAAGCACAGCCGAGACCACATCCTGCTGTTCAATGATGCACACTTCCTGATGGCCTCCCTGGGTGCACGGGACACCCGGACCACAGAGGAGCTGCTGACAACTCTGCAGGACACCAGCGAGTATGCAGTGGGTCCCTCAAAGCTCCTGTGCCAGGGTGGGGCTGGCCCCACCTTGCTGTGAGGGCAAGGGGGTGCTGGGGCCGTGCTGAGGCCCCTGCAGTGCCTACCCCACCGGCCAGGGAGGCTGGAGGTGGAGGCCCCATCAGTGAGCAGAGCTTTGGGGATGCCCATGGAGGGCTGCTCCCAGGTGTGTGACCCAAAGTTGTGTACCCCCAGGTGTGTGACCCACAGGAGTACAATTGGTTGTCCCAGGATACAGAGCTGCCTCTCCATCTCTGGGGTGGGTGTGGGACTCAATATCATGGGGCAACCTCCCATGGGGGACATGTTGGGGCCTTGGAATCAGACACCCACTGCTCACAGTCCCTGAGATCCTGGCCAAGGCAGTTCTCTGCTTTGAGCCTTGGTTTCCTTATCTGTGAATCAGGGATAGTGCCTGCTGAGGGCTGGCGAGGGCTGGCCTGGGAGACCCGGGCTGTCACAGCCATTCCCTCCTGGTGATGGTGATCCTCTGACTTGAGGTGCAAGGCCTTTGCCTGCATTGTCTGCAATCCTGACAGCTCTGTGAGCTTGATACTGTTACATCCACTTTACGGATTAGCAAACTGAGGCAGAAGCTGGGGACCTGTCTAGGGCCAGCAGCTGGTAACAGGCCAAGTCCAACCCAGATTTGAGTTTAGAGTCCTGTTCTCTCCCTTCGCTGGGCCGCTGCTCCTATGTTGCCATATCAGAGCACCTGCTGTGTGGCTGTGTGTTGGGCACTGTGCAGGGACACCCATGAGTAAGAAATGGCCCCTCCCCTCAGGACACTTGCTCCAGGCAGGGCACAGATGTGCTGTGATGGGGCGGGGTGCTGAGGGCACTTTTTTGGGTTGGCAGATCGCCAGGGGAAAACTGTCAGCACCTCCTGGCCCGAGACGTGGGGCTGCCCCTGTGCCACGCTCTGGTGGAAGCTGAGCGCGGGAACCCCGACCGTGTCGTGGAACTGCTGCTGCCCATCCGCTACCGAATCGTGCAGATCGGAGGCAGCAATGCCCAGGTGAGCCAGCTCCTCTGGCGAAGTCGCCAGCTGGAGTGCAAGGGGCTCTGGGCCAGGAAGCAGGTGCACCCAGCAGCCCCTGAGTTTCTCTGTGGTATTGGTGCCCACAATATGGAGTGTCCTTACCCCTCACACCCCCTCCGCATAAGGTTGTCATAGAGGGTGTAGTGTCAACACCACTATCTCCCTTGAGAACAGGCTGGCCTGTGGTAGGGTGGGGTGGGGCTCCCATGGCTCATCCCACCCACAGGAGCTTAACCCGCCCAACTGGCATTTCAGAGAGACGTCTTCAACCAGTTACTAATTCATGCGGCCTTAAACTGCACCTCCAGCATCCATAAGAACGTGGCCCGGTGAGCTCCTCGCCTTCTTCCCAAAGCTGGGCTTGGGCGGGCTCCCCAGCACATCTGCCTCTGACACGTGGGTCTTCCTGTGGGCCTCTGGAGTGCCTGGAGGTCCCCGCCTTGTTTGGCTGAGGTTGTCCCTGCTTCTGAGGCTGTGAAGACACGAGGCTGCAGGGGAATCTGGTTCTCCTTTGTTAGCAGCTCAGCTTGACCAAAGGGAGCCCACAGCCCCCACCCCCAGGCCTAGCCTCCTGCCCCCCCAAGCCCGCTCCCCACTGTAGTTGTGCTGAGCTACCCAGTTACCCAGACACATCTTGCTCTTTCAGGCCGCTGGGCCTTTGCCTGTGCTATGCCCTCTGCCTGGGACACTCTTTCTCCTTTCCACCCAGCCAGCGTGGACGTCCCTTCTCTCTCGGCATCACAGGTGTATTAGTTCATTTCTGTTGTTTATAACAAAATACACAGAACTGGGTATTTTATAAAGAAAACAAAATTTATTGCTTATAGTTTCAGAGGCTGGGAAGTCCAAAGTTCAGGGAACATATCTGGTGACCAATGCAGGGGCCTCACGTGGCAGAAATGGTGGAGCAGAGAGAGACTCTCACGTGCTCTCCTTTAAAGCCCTCAGAACCACGCCCCTGACCACTATTACTAATCCATTCACTACTGCACGGTCCTACAATCTAATCACCTCTTCAAGGACCCACCTTTCAATTACCATAATAGTTCAATTACCATAATAGGATTTCCCACCCTCAACAGTTACAGTGGGGATTAAGTTTTGAGACGACGTTCAACCCAAGGCAACAGGGTTTCTAGTTTTTATCTTTAAGACAGTCAGGCTGGCTGGTAGCTCACTTGGTTAGAGCATGGTACTGATAACGGCAAAGTCAAAATGCTCTCCAGACCTCCTGTCCCAGTGCCACTGCTGCTGGGAGTGCATGGACACGGGGCGCAGGGGCTCTGTGCTTTCTTATATGCACCCCTTCCCCCCAGCAGAGGCCAGGCCTCCTGTGTCCGGGCCTTGGCCCATCCTGTTCCCTCTGTGCTCTGGCCGCCCTTGTCCTGCCTTGAAGCTAAGGGACCCCCAGGCCCCCATATCCTTTTAGAAGGTTCCACAGCAGAACCTTTGTGTCTGTTTCCGCAGGAGCCTTCTGATGGAGCGTGATGCCTTGAAGCCCAACTCGCCCCTGACCGAGCGGCTGATCCGCAAGGCAGCTGCCGTCCACCTCATGTAGTGACCGGGCCCAGCTGCCTCCGTCCTGCAGAAGCTCAGCGACGGCCTCATTGGCATCAGATGAGCTGCTCCACTGGGTTAGGGTTAGAAAACAGCTAGACCCTGTCTGTTATAGCTGTTAGAGGGTAATCTGCAGCCTTAAACAAAAAGCTCTGTAAACAGGCAGTTTTACATGAAGAAGGGACACGGATTCATTTTAAATGTCGTTCAGAATCTTCCTCCAATCCACGTAAAGGGCTGGTGTGCACTTCTACGCAGTCAGAACCAACGTGGCTGCTGCTCTCTCCACTTGCCTTGCAAGTCATTTCCCAGGGGAACGTTTGTACTTTCTGCTTGTTCAAGGATTGGACGGCAGGGCAGGGCTGAGGCCAGGCTCAGTTGGAGAGGGGAGTTTTCCAAACACAGCCCCGTGGAGGCAGCCCCTTCTCTCCCCTCAACTGGCCACCCTTGGGATAAACCCTTCATTTAGTCTTCCTTACATTCTAGAGGGGTCTGTTGTCCCATTTTACAGGTGAGGGCACCGATGGGGGGGTGGGGGGTGGGAGTAGTGACTTGCTCAGAGTCAGAGCTAGTGGAGGCCTGTGTGTCC